TCAATACGAGCAACGACACCATGCCTTTACGTCATTACTGATGCTTTGGCATAGTGAGGGCCTGAGATTTGAAGTACACAGGCCTAATGAGGATAGGCTCTATCCTGTAGTAGTAGTGTGTAGTATCCTGGCAGGAAAACTGAGGTGCAAAAGTAACCACTTTTCCAGGAACCAAAGTAATTAGTAGGTAATTAAAATCTGTTTTTTTTTTAAAGATAATTCCTTAAGTCAGAAATTTAGTAACTATGTTGGCAACACAAGCCTTTTCTACATAAAAAATTTGAAAGTATTGACAATTTTACATTGTATTGTCAACATAATGTCATTTTGACTTTTATCTTTAAAAAAAAAACAGACATTAGATTACTTTCGAGTCGCTTTTCTGTAGTTACCTACCACATCTTTATTTTTGGTTGAGGAGCGATGATTAACCTTCAGATTTGACTGGATTTGACCCATTACCCAAAATCATAAATAAAAAAAAAAAATTATACTTGCTTCTTGATGTTACTAAAGACCTAGGTACCAAGGACCAGATTTCAGGAAACCAAGGACTAAGGCCCAAAAGTAACCACTTTTCCAGGTACCAGAGTGATTTGATCACTTTCGGACCGCGAAACCACAACCATGGTTATATTCAGCCCACAGCCTTAATATTGTTTTAGATAGTGTTCATGATGTTTTTGTCAAATATATAAATTTTAATATTTTATTATCAATTTGAGACGCTTCGGGCCTGAGTTATACCGGCCCACCGGGCATTTGCCCGGTCGTCCCATCCAACCCTGTTACACACCTTTGAATTTAACTTTAGTTTAGTTGTGTGTCTTGTGTTTTGTATTTGAAAGTCAGTTGAAACAAGGTAAAGGTTATTTGCAACTGGTGGCTGACTAATGGCAGTGCATTTCTTATGAAAATATTCAGTCACCAGTTGTAATTTACCTCTACTTTGTTTCAACTGACTTTGTAAATACTATACTTCTTTCTTGAAAGTCGATTTCTCAGGAAAATAAATAATTTCAGTTATCAACCTCTTATCATTTCAATGACCAGCCCAAACATTTTTTCAGTGGCGGCTCGCAGGATAATAATAAACATGGCACTACCTAATTTTTCGCTGTAAATTTTATTTTTTTTCCTATAAAAGTATTAGAAGAGCGCGAATATGCCATCAAGATGTGTGATTTAAACGACTTTTAGGCGTGGGACCTCAAAAAAATTTCCGCCTCCGGCGGGTATCTGATTTGCCCCCCCCCCAAAGCCTCAGGCTGGATACGCCACTGACGTGACATTAATATGCAATCTGGTGACTTGGATTTTCGCACATTGAATACTCTTCTGCTCCATGTTTCTTTTCATGTTGATAGGATCCATCCATCAGAAATTGATGTTGTGTTGAAGAATGATCTTTTATCACTTTGTGCTAGACTTACAGGACAGGTGAATCTGGCCTCCAGAGGTATCAAGACCTCGGCTCAGAAGTCCTATTCACAAAATGCTGCAGGATCTAGAAAGGCTATAGCAGTTCCGGAGAATTTGATATCTTTCGATGAGGAAACTCCCCAACCCCAATAGGTTTAACCTCTTCATAATAGCGGCGAAAGTCCTGATAATGAGAATGACGAGTCTTTTCATGATGATGACAATGAGTCATGTGGCGACGAGTTCGATGATCCCGAATCGCTTAATTTTTGACGACCGGTTATACCCTTACAATTTTCAAATGGTCATGAGACAGCACTCCATTCTCGGGTTGCGTCTGGTTCTAACAGAAATAGCCGAAATTTCAATCTTTTGAGTAATGACCTTGTACGCGAACCACCATTTATCCAGCACAGATATGTCATAGAAAATCCACTACACGGATTTAAACAAAATCGACTTTCTGTTATGGGAAATTTTGGAAATGACAGATATTCTACATCTACAGGAAGTCAGTTTAATAATCCTCCTATTTCTAATTTCGAGACCTTTGTTCTCAGGCCTCATGAAAATCCAACCAATCTTTCTGAATTCATTCCCCTCGAAAGACTTATCGATGATCTTCAGTTCTCATCAATGCGAAGTCTTAATTTCCATTCGTCACCTTATATTGGACCCGATGGAATATAAAATTTAATGGACAATCAAGTGTCAATGATTCCTGGAATGGGTTGAATAAATTAGACCCTCGAGAGGTGTCTCGAAGAATCATCTACTCCGTTTGTGTCCCGAGTTGTCTTATGGTATCGCACATGTAAGCTTGCCGGATGATTTAGTTCGATAGCTTCGGCAATCATTCCAACCATATGCCTACGAGTATGCGTTATGGGATTCGTCGTAGAAACCAAGGCGCGCAAGAATGAGTTCTTACCTACCTTGTGGCTATGGAAAATTTGTTTAGAAAGCTCCTTGAAATGCCCTCTGAGTCTATGGAATTAAATATTATGTGTCGTAATCTACTGCCCTATATCCATAGCCGTCCCGCTACTCATCAAATTTTTACAATCCAGTAGCTCACCAGGCTAAGTAGAGCGATCGAAGAAACGGAATCTCGTTTACAAAAATTTGTGCCCCCACCTACCAATACACGACAATTATTAGAGCTCGAATTAGCATACGAGAAACCGTCTCAGCATTACATACTGACCTCATTTCCGAAGGTGAAGTCGTTCAGACTGACACTCATCTAGATGTCGTCAGAACAGCTAGTCCTCAAGTTTGTTGGAATTGTATTGTAACAAGGAAGGTCTCATCAGGTTTAACCAATGCCAACAGGGAAAACTTGCATTCTGTTACAAGTGTGGAAAGAAACAGATCACTAGCAAATCATATCCCGATTGTACAAAAAACTTTCTCGCGGCAAAGAAATAGGTCAAATTTCTTGCCTGGCCCCTACTCAAATGACCAATAACGATTATAAGACTACAGCTATTTTAGACTATGTTTTGGCCCATGCTAAAGGCGATCAACGTCCTTTTTTGAGTGTGCCTATTGTTGGCAAATAATTACTTGGGCTGTTAGATAGTGGCGCATCGAAAACCATCATTGGATCTTCTGGTTGGGAGATTCTCAAGCCCCTTTGTAGGCTATATTCTTCCCCAATAACCAATTGCACAATGGTCAAAGTTTCTCCATTGCTGACATGGCTCGACTCCCTATTACCTTGAGAGACCGCGTCAGTCTTTTGGATACATTGGTGGTTCCCTCTTTATCAAGTTCATAATCTGGGATTGAAATTTGAATCCGTAATAAAGGTCATATTGATGGTGGCCAGGCTTAATCCAAGATGTGGAGCAGTTTATAAGTTGTTGTGAAGCCTGCCAACAGCTTCAGAATACCACTAACACTAATTCATTGATTTCATGGCCATCAGCACCAAGTACTTTCTTTCGAGTCAACATTGATTGCTTCCACAAATTTGGTCGAAATTTTCTTATTTTAGTACATAATAAATCAAAGTGGCTAGAAGTGAAATATGCATTACTGCAAAAGAAACGGTTCTGAAATTGAAAGAAATTTTCAGCTTCATCGGTTTGCCATCTGAACTAGTGTCTGATAATGGACCTCCTTTTTGCATTAAACCTGTGAAAGCAACCCCATATTACACCCAAAATAATGGGTCGGCTGAAAAGGCAGTTCAGACTGAAAAAAGCTTTAGTCTCTCAAGATTAACAAGATATTTCAGATATCACTTATTAGCTGATTTCCTATTAGCCTACCGTAATACTCCATCCACTGTCACAGGCTTGTCACAGGCCGAATGTGTACTGAGGACTCAGAACAAGATTTGCTCTTTTAAAACCCGATTATAATTCAAAGATTAAGACAGTTCTAGACCGTTGTAAATGTTCCAAGTTTTACCATGTTAGTGATCAAGTTTATGTCACAGATATAAATAGAAAGATATAGGTAAAAGCAAAAATTGTTAAGGTTCTCAGTTATACAACATATTTAGTCATGTACGAAAATGAAATAGTGAGATTGGTACATGCTGATAGCATCCGTCATGTTTTCTGTGACAAAAATTTGATTATGCCGACAACTATGAACTTAACTTCGAACCTCTCTAAAAATATTGGAATAACTGACAATTTTCATAATTCTAATAATGACCAGTCTCAGCAGTGCAAAAAAACTCGGTAGTGATAATAACAAAGTCTCTGTAAGTTTTTCAAACATCCCTAAAGATAAAATTACTGTTAGTCTAAAAAAAACACTTGATGCTACTCCACCTCCAAATAAATGTTTGAAAGCTGAGCATACTGTAACCAGAACCGGTAAAGTAAGTAAGGGCCCAGAAAAACTGGACGTTTTCTACTAAAATTACACAACACTTCTAAAGGCTCTAATTGTAGCCATGCAGGCAAGTCGTTGAAGCTTTTCCAGCTTTGTCCTGTAGGTGCATTTGCTAAGCGCGGGGGTTATAAGCCCCAGTTGCGTCTCATGGATCTTCTACAGGCCCAAAGGTTAGCAGTGGCCTTCTGGGCGACCCTGTTTACGTTATCTTTCCAGGTCAGCCCGGTGTCAATGATGACTCCTAGATATTTGATCAAACCGGATGGGGCAAGTCTCGTTCTAAAGAGCGTGAGCCCTTCCAGACCCACGTTTCTTCGCTTTGTAAATGGTACTACCTCGGTCTTGTCAGGCTTTACCGAGAGCCCGTGCTCATTACAGCATCTTTCGACCATGTTAAGAGCTCTTTGCCTGATCCCGTTAATGTGCTGGGTATCTTACCAGCCACAACGATGATAAGTTTGAAGTTTTGTGTAGAGTTTTCAATTTTAATAGTATAAGGAATTCTTCAGATTATTTCGGTCAACTTTCCAACGAATTACTTTTATACTTTTACCTTATTGACCTCATTTCTTTATTCATTAAGGGCTGCAGTGGAAAAGGATTTTTCGCTAAATAATCTTTCCAGGAAAAAGGATTAATTTTAAAGTTGGTAAAGTCAATTAATCCAAGAATATAATCTTTCAGTTATAAAAACATTTTGATTGAAAAACGTGACAATTTACCTTGCAAGTAAACGGATATTTTGCAGGAAATTGATCCGAAAGCGTAAGCGTCCGTGTAAGCTCTCCAAGCAGCATTTGGCATACAAATAAGGGTGACAAGTAGATCAGCCACTGATAAATTGACCAAAAAGTAGTTTGTCACACTGTAAAAAAATAAATTAGATTATTATCATATCCAGCAAGATTAAACAAAAAAAGAAGGATTATAAAAAGTCAACTTCAAGTTTAAATAACAGTTTCGATGAGTAAAACTTTGAAGTTCTAACATCTAGCCACCGTTAATAATAGAAATCTAAATAGAATGATTGGTTTCAAAACTTCCCAAGACATATTTTTCCCAAAACAAATATTCATGCTATAAAAATAAAGAATTTTTTTAGTTGTATTCAGAGGGAAATTGCCTTCCCCTGGGATTGTAATTTCAACGATAAAAACAAAAAGAAGATTAGTGAGGGAAACCTAAAAAAAAAAAAACTTCTTTTAATGAAATGAATTAATTTCAAGTGTCGTGTTTCAAGTAGTAATGTCATTGTCACAGAATTACACCTTATTGTTCTGGAACAATTGCGGCTGTTATCTTAGCAGAGCAAGGCTCTGGTTAATTTCGTGAATGAACTTTTGTAATTAATAATGCTCGGAGCTAAATGAAAACAAATTTTCATTGAAAATCCAATTTTCAAACTGAATCAAATCAAGTATGCCTGGATTTGAAATAAAATTGGAAAGTTCGAACAAAAGTTTTCTTCCATGCAAGAAAAGTTTTAACAAACTAGTTTCGTTTATTCTTTTTTATTCAACTTCCTTTGCATTTCTGACTGTTTTCATTACAAAGGCTTTGGAAAATATCGAGATGCAGCAATAGCGACAATTATTTTGTGGTTCTACTCAATATAAATAGAATTTTTATGAGCTCTTTGTAGTTGGAGATGCCGGATACTGATGTGAGGTTGTAACATCGTAACCCCTTTTGCTATTTTGAACACAGGAAAACCATCTCAAGGCAACACAATTACTTTAAATGCAGTCTTCTATTTTATTTTAGTTTTCCATTGCACGGAATGGGGCTAAAGGAATCCTTATTACCACGAGATATTATGAATCAATTTTATCAAATAAAGTAAAATGTAACAGACAGACGTCTAATTAAACCTCATATTCAAACATTATTCCGCTTTTGATGCCCTATAACAAAAACTGAATTGCCAACAAAAGCTAGAATGTGAAATGTCCCAGAAGCATACATGCCAAGGTTTTAATTACTAGTTACATTAAATAAATGAAATTCCTTACTTCCAGACTAATTATTATTGAAATACCTTCGAGATTCTGGTTCTAACTAATTTAAATTTTGGGCTTATTTGCAAAGTTCCTGCCCAATGGGTATTATCGGGAACAATAGTTTTCACTTGAGATGGAATTATACATAATGGGAATATTCTTGAAGTTGTGAAGTAAGATAGTATAAGGATTATTGTTGAAAGCCACTGGGTATATTTTGCAGTCGATAGAGATTCTGATTTTTGGGCTAAGAATAAAACGCTATAAATCTATGTATTTTCGACAGTTAAATGACTGTCACTGGTCTGAATTAATAATATGTTACAATAAAACATGTTACAGGAATATTGAAATTTATCAAAAGCCTGCGTTTCCTAAGCCTGTATAATAATTTAAAGTTATAGCTGTTTTGATAATTAAATTAATTTCCGAACAGAAACAGGGAAAATTGATTTCAGAAATGCTTTATATATTTCTTTGTGATTCGTTGATAAAGATTCTAAGAAGGAGACACATTATTGAAATTATTTCCCAGGTCGCGCTTCATAACTTTAATTAAAAAGGAGTGATTAATTGAGCTGATTCAAAGGCAATTTATTCCTTTATACACATTGTCCTTGTTGTAAAAATCGATCACTCAATAAATAAGTTAATATCCGTAGCAATTTCTTTGTAAAAGGAAGTTTTTAGAAATATTATTCATTTTCTGGTTGTTTTTCTTGGAAAGCTAATATCAAGGCACTGTGGTATATTATCTACAGGTACTTATTCCTGTATCATAGATATCGATCTGAAATTTTCTGCCAATGTGAGTGTAGTTGCATTAAGAATTACAAATTCTCCAAATCTTAGATTCAGAAATAGAAAATTCGTAATTTTTCAATTTTTCGACGGGGCTGTTTTCAAATATTTCGGCTTATAATTGCATTGCATTAAATGACATTATGGAGTTGAAATTTTAACAGGCCCCAGAACCAAAATTTTTTTTTTTATCCCACCAGGCCATATCGGACACAAAATTAAATAACTGCCCAGGCCATAGCGGACATAAAATAATCGGTGAACACCCGATAAAGAAGTAGGTATATGTAATAGTGTGTCCACCCTGGCCCCTAGTGTAAAGGTAATTTTAAATCATTTTTCATAAGCCACAGCAGTCACAAGAGCGGCCACGGTTTCTGAAATCTTTACAAATATTTTTTTTCAGAACCCAAGATATATACGCCATTATACAGGGTGTGATGGACTGACACATTTTGCAGGTAAATATCTCTAAAACGTTCTGTGAGAAGGATTTTTTAAAGTTCAGAATATTGCCGAATCCTAAAATTTGATGAAATTTGGGTTTACAGACATGCGATATTTTGAAATAAAAATACTGCCTCATGCAATATTTTTAATGAAGCACCCTGTATATTTTGTCATCGTCAGAAAGACTAATTTTTCTACTTTAGAAAAGTTTATATTTTCTTTTAATTATTTTGAAATTGCATCGCATAAATTGCGCTTTGTTTTTAAGGTTTTAATTAGTTGATAAAAGTAATAAACACAAATTAATTATCGATTTTTTTGGATCTAAGTGAGAAAATGAGATTTACTCGCGGTTTGTTTTGTTCGATGAAAAGACCCTACTCGATAAATCCTGCAAGTTTGATGTCCCTCTGATTGCTTCAAGTATTTTTCAGAAGCTCCTAAATGTGATTTAATAAAAATTATACATGATTCCTTTGCATCCAAGTGAGAAAAAATTCATAATTTCATTTCAGAGCCCGAGATCTATTCACGGTTTATTCTATTTGATTGAAAAGACTCTACTCAATAAATCCTGAAAGTTTGAAGTCCCTCTGATTGTTTGAAGTATTTTTCAGAAGCTTTCAATGGTGATTAATAGAAATTTTACATGATTTTTTTGCATCTAAGTGAAAAAAAATTCATAATTACGCTTCTGAGCCTGAAATTTATTCGCGGTTTGTTCTGTTCGATAAAAAGACCCTACTTAATAAATCCTGAAAGTTTGAAGTTCCTCTGATTACTTGAAGTATTTTCCAGAAGCCTCCAAATGTGATTTATTAGAAATTTCACATAATTTCTTTGCATCTAAGTGAGAAAAAAATCATAATTCCATTTTTGAGCCTGATATCTATTCGCAGTTCGATAAAAAGACCCTACTCAATAAATGCTGAAAGTTTGAAGTTCCTCTAATTGCTTGAAGTATTTTTCAGAAGCTTCCAAAGGTGATTTATAGGTTGGCAACTGTGAAAAGTACAATTCGGTCTGAGGTGAAGGGGGAAGAAAAAACGATATGGAAATACACAGTTGCAATGGAAGAGAGCGAGATAGAAATATTAGTTCGCATATTTGTTAAAATAGGATTCACAAAGATAAAGAAATCAATTTCTCTAGATATCTATGAAACTTTGTTGATAATGATAGATGTCAAGTTTTTTGTCACTAGTCACAAATTTTAGTAGCTTGTGAGCTTATTGTAATCTCTATGGTTATTAGTTTCAATTATTAATAAATAGACTGTTGTCTTGTATGTCGGCCTATAAAGAAGAACGTGTTTAATTCAATAGGTTATGGGCCCAGTTCGCCGAGTTAATTTTTTTTGTGTGTTCTTTGTAGATTGTGCGACATACAATGGCTGGAAATTTTATTGAGACTGTTCCAAAGCTCAAGTGCCGGGAAAACTTCGACGATTGGTCTTTCGCCGTGGAATTTTTTTTTGACCCCTGATGAATAATTGTAGGCGTGCTTCGATGGTACAGAAAGCGAAACCACAAAAATTGCTCAAGCAAAAGCTAAACTAGTTTTAACTATCGATTTTTCACTTTATATACATATCAAGGAAACAAAAATGCCAGAAGAGTTATGGAGAAAGTTGAAATCGCTGTATGATGATGCAGGATTTTCCATAAAAATCAGTCTCTTTAGATTACTCATTTCCACAAGGTTGGGCGACTGGGACAGCGTGGGGTCGTATGTGAACAAAGTTGTGGAAACAGCTTAAAGGTACTGATTTCAAAATAGATGAAGAGTAGATAGGATCCTTGCTGCTTGCAGGATTACCCGAAAAATATTCACCGTTGATAGTGATGATAGAGCATTCAGGTATTGCCATTACAGCGGACTCTATTAAAACCAAACTATTAGGCCAGTATTACACTATCAAAGATCTTTGACAAAGACTTGTATAAGATATTTTATAGGATTTATTTGATGAAATTTCTTTGATGAATTTTTATTTTCGTATTACAATAATATGAAATACAGGGTGTCCGAAAAGGTTTTTACGATTTCTTTGTTATATTTCTCGAGAACCGTTAGGAGTGGGGGAATCAGAGCAGATGCAATGCCGAACGTGCATCTTGGAACTTCAGTAACCATGGAGCGATATGCAGTGCAGCAGCGCGCTTTCTGTGTAAAAGCATTTTTTGAGAACAACCATTCTTACATCCAAATTCGTCGCCTCGAAGAATGGTAACGTTAATTACCCCGCCAGAAGTCCCGATTCAATTTTTTTTGTAGGGTTTCCTTAAATCAAAAGTGTACGTTCAAATTCCTGCAAATTTGGATCAGTTAAAAAGCAAAGAATTCGCGACGAAATTCGAGCCACAAGAACTCTGCAACCGCGTGTTTACCAATTTCAGAGTTCGTTTGGAGGAGACGATCCGCATGGGAGGGCAGCACCTCGACGGCATAATTTTTCACAAATAAAATTTCCACAGGTTGTAGTTTATTTTATTTTTTTTTATTTTTTAAGTAAATCTCAAACTTGATAAAGTTATAATTTTCACAAAACGTAAAAACCTTTTCGGACACCCTGTATAAGATAAAACTATTAGTAGTTCATTGGAGCAAAATG